GGCGAGGCGACATTCCTCGACGGACAGATGAATCGAAAGATATTTATCACTAAAACACTTTTATTAGCTTTAAAGCTTAAATTAAAAAAATATCAATCACGCATAACAATTAACGGTAAAAACGGTAATTCAAAAATACCGATAATCAAAATACAATAATAAAAAAAAAATGTTTTCAACAATAAACATATAAAGATCGGTGTTCGCGGATCAGCGGAAGTAGCAAAGTCTGAATGTAAAAGTCGACGTAGTAACGGAGGATAATTATAGCAACAATTTCTCGAGACGAATGCACGATTAAAAAGATCGACGCGCAAGCGGATATCAAGTGGAAGGCCGTCTAATGCGTTAAGCGCGAGGCGTTCCGATTGCATAACGCGACTTATAACTCTCAGGGGTGAAAGTTGCGAATCATTTCGCTCCTTATTTCGATCACACAAAGCCGCACGCCGTCGTGCAAAGTCGTATTCTCCAGCATTCGCCGCGCGTTACATACAAACGTGTTCCGAATAAGATCTAAGGTTGCCAATGCGACACCCGACACCCTTGAACCCGTGTAACACTTGGAAGGTGTCCGCGGCTCCTCCGTCGGAGTCAGTATTACGAGGTAGTGAACATCTAAAGCGAAGTGGGTCTTCGCGCCGCAGAGCGCGCGAGAGAGTGCAGGAGGGAGCGCGCGCGCGCACGCGCGCGCAGAGGGGGAGCAGAGGCGGCTATTCGAACAAGTTAGACTCGATACACACAGGTGGATCATCGGAGCCGTCATCCGAGGCCTCCGCCAACACAGCCGATGAGGCGAAGAATACGTGTAATCCACGCGGTGAATGAAAAAGGTCCGCGATTCTTGCTTCTTTTCTTCTCGCAACAAGCGCACCAACGCCGCGCCAACGGCGGGTTCTCTTCGTCTTTCGGCCGTGCGGTGGCGGAAGACAATACAGCGGCGCGACAAGGACGGAGAGAGAGCGCGCCTGCGAGAGAGAGAGAGAGAGAGAGAGAGAGAGAGAGAGAGAGAGAGAGAGAGAGAACACCGCTCGGATCAGGTTTCGTTGTGTTTGTAAAATTGAGAAATTTACGGGACGCGACGTGGATCTCGTCTCGCGACGGGGAGAGCAATCGAAGAGCTAATTTCTCTACGAGCAATTAATAACGCGCAGTTGCGCGTAATTAACACAGCGCAGTTACTCAGGATGCGCACAATTAATCGGCACGACAACCGTAAGCGCTGCTTATCGGCGCTGCACCGGCGTTCGATTAAACGCGTGCAAGATTGATGAGGTTAATTTTTCCTTGTAACGCGAGGCGGACTATTCCGACGTGGAATTTTCAATTTCATGCGTTACACGAAAAGTTCGATGTTTTATTCATAAGAGGCTTTTTAATCGATTGATCAATTCCGCCGCGGCTCGGGAAACGCGCGCGCGAGATGGCTCTCGGACGGTGTTGCTTGTTAAATTTAGAAGTTTCGCACGACAGCATTAGAGAGAGAGAGAGAGAGAGAGAGAGAGAGAGAGAGAGAGAGAGAGAGAGAGCCAGGGCGATTTTTGTTGGGCATTTTGCGGTTATAAGTCTCGCCTTTCGCTGTTTTCTGACCTGCGCTAGGCTTTGATTTTCTGCAGCTATAACCCGAAAGTTCTGCGCCGTTTCAGCTTTATTGCTTGTTAGTCACACACGGACGGAGCGATTTGGACAGACAGACACACACGCACGTACATAGGCGCGTTTCATTTAACAGTTTAATTATATCTTATGAGTTCAGTCATTATATCGCGGAATGAAAGTCCAGGGAAACCGGGTGCAGCGTCATCGGCACTCGTTGCGCGGACCGTACAGTCCGCGCTCGGCCGTACACGTCGTCCGCCATGTCGCGCGAGCGAAATTAATGAACTATAAAGGGAGAATGCCGTAAATTGTTTCCGTGAGAATTTATCGCGTGTAAACTTGTCGGCCGCGACAGAGAGAGAGAGAGAGAGAGAGAGAGAGAGAGAGAGAGAGAGAGAGAGAGAGAAAGAGAGAGAGAGAGAAAGAGAGGTAGGGACACTAATTCGATATTGGCGTGTATTAAAATACTTAGCGCAATAAGCGGCCGCGAAGACCGAATATCTGGTGCAACGCCCGGCATTTTTGCTCGTAAAGATATTTTTTATTTGACGCCGAATCGACTAACGGCCCAGCAGCGTAGGGCCGTGCATTCGATGGAAATTTATGCGAGGGCCCCGCCCTCGCAGAGAGGCCGAGAGAGAGAACTCGGTCGACGTATACGGACGCCAGCTCGCAGGCCCTATCTGAACCCTTTACGAGCGTCCAATTGCCTCCCTTTCGTCCAAGTCGACAACGCTATACAAAAATCGCAGGTTGCCGGCCGTTCAGGGACCAACCAGCGCTAGAAGAGAGAGAACAGCGCGATCTCGCAGGGCGACTCGCAGAGAGACAGAGAGAGAGAGAGAGAGAGAGAGAGAGAGAGAGAGAGAGAGAGAGAGAGAGAGAGCGCAGCCTAAAACCAATCAACCATGCGAAACGAGGTCTCAGCTCGTCGCTAAAATCCGAACATCCTCGCCCGTAACGAGGGTTGAGAGGGCTTAATTAAGCGAAAGAAGAGAGAGGGGGAGAGAGAGAGAGAGAGAGAGAGAGAGATAAAGAGAGGACAAAAACGAAAAATCGACTGTACAAACAAGGTAGTCTAGTAGAATAGAATGAAACTGGTATCAACCGTTGTGAGGTGAAGACAGAGGGATGGTGGTGGTGGGGGGGGGGGAGGCAAAGGAACGAATTAGCGACGTTGCTTCTGCGATCAGCAACGATCGATATCCGGCGCGGAAACGATGTTTCATTAACTCCGGTTGACAGGTGCCGATTGCCTACTGACCCTTGGCCCTACGCGAAACAAGAGAAGCTCCTCTTTCTCACTCTTTTCTTTTCTTCCTCCCCTTCTCTCTTTCTCTCCATTTCTCTCCTCCCTGTCCCTTCGACGTGGTTCGATAAGCAACGCCGTTTTTGGAAGGCAGCCTTTCGTTTGTGTACGAAACGGCCATCGTTGCACGCCTTCTCGCCGCGGCACAGCTCAGCTCGCCGCGCGGCGTGGCGCGGCGCGGCGCGGCGCGGCGTCCCGTGGGCCCCGAGCCCGGGCGGGCCTGCAAAAATGACTGCCAAAAAAGGCCCAACTTCATGAAGTCGGACCGTCACTCATCGCGGCGAATTGGCTTCCACAACGCAACAATGTAACGCGATGTGTGCATAACGATGCACCGCTCGCGAGCGCGCGCGAGCGCACACACACCTCGCAGCTCGCTCTAACACGCGCGCAGGTCGACCGAGCCGAGCACGTGGTGCTCGCCCACACGTGCGCGCGTACACACACGTGCGTGTACACGACACGACGACGACGACCGCACGATGGACCACACCATCCTGCGCTCTCCCTCTCTCCCCGCTCTCCCTCCCTCTCTCTCTCTCTCTCTCTCTCTCTCTCTCTCTCTCTCTCACTCACTCACTCACTCTCTTCCTCTCCTTCTCGCGCGCGCTCGCGCTCGCGCGCGATCGGGCCCCCGCACGGGAGTAAAGGTTTTACCGATGGCGTACGCCCATACGCACGTAGCATGTAGGCAGAGGTTCCCACACCGCAGGCCATGATTTATTGGCCTGCCACTCGCCAGACCTGCTGTCATCATCGTCCCATGGTTGGTCCATGATACAGCGCGCCGTGCCGTATATAACTTCCCTCTATGCACGATCTTCGCGTCATATCGGCTCCTTCTTTCCTCGCGCCCCGTTGATACAGGAAGGCCGCTCGCCGCACCGCGCCACGCCGCCCGGCCCTCCTCCTCCTCCTCCTCCTCCTCCTCCTCCTGGCCGCTCTTCCTCCCCCTCCTGCCCCCGTCCGCCGCCCTGTAGACCGTCCACCTTGTTTTACCTTAACCAGCCGATACCCACCGCCGTACGGAGCCGACAATCACCTTCTTTCTCATCGAGAAGACGTTGCACGACGTGGGCGGGAGGTGCGAATTTCGCAAACTCGATCTGAATATCGTTAGCGTGCGCTGCTACGCTCCAGAGTCCCCTAGCCCCTCCGGCCCCGCCGTGGCCCCGAAGCCCAACCCTTGGCCGGCGAGATCTTACCCTGCGGTGATCGTGACGCGTCTATGCGAGGTAAGAGAAAAATGACGGGCCGAAATGAGGTGATTAAGGAGGATGCGTTTATTTCAGGAGTGAGGTCGTTGCATCCTCCACTCGATGCAACGTGTGATGCGCGCTCCGATCTCGCTCGCTCCTGCCGCGCTCGCGCTGTCGCCGCGCAATGTACGGAGGGCCGCAAGGCGAGAGAGTACGTTTCCGACGAAGAAACGGGGGGAAATGTGAGGAAAACGGGCAGAGAGCGAAAAAAAGAGAGAGTGAAAGGGGAAGAGAGAGAGAGAGAGAGAGAGAGAGAGAGAGAGAGAGAGAGAGAGAGAGACACACGCACAATGAGGTGAGGCAAAACTCGAAACAAGGCCCCGGGCGCTTCGATTTCCGCGCGCTGGAGGAGGGCACGTTTGTCAAATTCTGCGGCCGCACAAGCGGCTCGCGCGCACGACGAGAGGGTAACAAGCCCGCCGCGCACATGGGGTCAGGAAGGAAGGTGAGGAGGCGAGGTGGACGAGAGAGAACAGAGGAGGACGACGAGGGCACGGGCACGGCGAGCGCGGACAGGGCGAAACAAGAGGAGGAGCAGGAGGAGGAGGAAGAGGAAGAGGAGGAAGAGGAGGAGGAGGAGGAGGAGGAGGAGGAGGAGGAGACGGGGAGGACAGGGAGGAGAAGGAGAGTTTCCTCCAGAACACGGGGGGCGAACGCGAAGTCGTCCGATTAGGAAGCGAGAGGGGTTACACTTTGTTTCGTCGGCCGCCGGCGTGGTTTCCCAAGCGGCGGCGGCGGCGGCGGCGGCGGCGGCGGCGGTGGCGGCGGCGGCAGCGGTTGCGGCGGCGACGGCAGCGGCGGTGGCGGTGGCGGTGGCGGTGGCGGCAGTTCGCTCGCTCGTTCGGCACACAGTCGAACGCCTTCGCCACTGGACGACGGACGTCGTCGCCGTCGCCGTCGCCGTCGTCTTCGTCATCGTCGTCGTCGCTACCGTAGCTGTCACCGTCCTCGTCACCGTCGTCGGCATCGTCATCCTCGGGACCATCATGTCGTACATCATGATCGGCATCCTGATGATCCTCGTGTCGATCGCGCGCGGCTGCTCCGGCTGCCCGTTTTGCGCCAGGCAACTGTTGCAGCAGCTGCAGCAGCAGCAGCAGCAGTCGCAACAGCAGCAGCAACAGGAGCGGCAGGAACAGGAGCAGGAGCAGGAGCAGGAACAGCATCAGCATCAGCAGCAGCAGCATCAGCAGCAGCAGCAGGAACCGTACCGGTCGATCGGCAGCCTGAGACCGTTCGGCGCCGACAGACCGACTCGCGTCCAGGAGTTCAACCGGACCGGCGTGCTGCACCCCGAGTACCAGATACCGGCGACCATCAGGCCCGGCAACGTGTCTCAGTGAGTATTCAGCAGTTCCGCGGTTCCGTCGCTCCTGCGAGAGAAGGCTCTCTCGGTCTGACACTCGCGCGCGCGCGCGATTCGCTCTTCTCCGCGACAGCGGCTCGATCTTCGTGATTGAGGGCGGCGGTAAAGGGAGAAAGAGAGAAAGAGAGAAAAAGAGAGCCGGATGCCGCCCTACCTTTCTTTGGCGGCGGTGTCCGCACTGCTCGTTTAATTATCGCCGCCGGTTTAATTATCCGAGAAGAGTGCTGGCACGTTTAGCCCGGATAATTAAGACATCGTCGCAGTCGCGGTCGCGCGCGCCACGTCGAGATGAGCGCGTCGATCTGCGCGTGGCGTTATCGTCCACGGAGATTTCACCACACGGGGATGCCACGCTCCGACTGCTTACCTCGACGTGCGTTAGCGTCGTCGGGACGTAGAGCTTGAGAGGATTTTCTCACTCGTCCTCAGAGCGGGAGGCGTGCGAGTCTCGTCTGTGAGAGTCGATCGCTACACGATTCACGGTCATTTTCTTGCAAACTTGCGATCATTCGATTCGTTCGCTTCCTCTCGCTTTCTCAATTTCAAAATTGGGCGCGCTGACGCTGCGCATTGCGCCGTCGCTCAGAGCGTCGCTTCGGCCGCTGCTTGACCCAACGTCGCGCCCCTCCGACGCTTCATCTATTTGTTGTCGTACCTTTCAATGTTTTCTGATTTATTTCATTTACCTGATATACCATTTATTGATCTGTCTAATTCGTTGCTTCCGTTGCCGTCTCTTCACGTAAGACCGTACATAAAGTGGATCGCTGAGTACTGCAATAACGGCGGTTTGGTCGATTATAAATCTCACACGCGAGATAATCGAGGACAAAACTGCCGTCGAGAGCGGCGACCGCAGATCCGCCGAAGAAAAGAAAATCCGACACGGCGTTAATTGTCGCATTTCGCTCTCGATCAGCCTCACCCGCGGCTGAGGCGTGGAATTAGCGCGCGCGCGCAATTATAGCCGGGCGAGCTGCGCGCTTTGTACGCCTTTAGGCGGCGCGAAATATTTAAGCAACTGTTCTCGAGTGTGTAAATTGTTTGCTCGACACGCACAACGGGTGGACCGCGAACGTTTACAGCAACGTCACGCACCCCGTGCCGCGTATCGTCAACCACAGCGAACGCTCGTGCACGTAATTCGATGCACATTTTGCGTACTCGTGCGATTCGATACATTCGACCCATATCGCGTGGCGTATGAAGGGCCACATAGCCGTTGTTTTCGCTCGTACGTTCACGAGCTGCACGCTGAATAACGGCGCGACGTAACGATGCGCGTTGCGCGGTCAAGACGGATGTAATCCGTCGCGACGACACGTGTCGCAAAAGTCGCGCGGTCCCCGCGCCGTTTCCACCCGTCCGCCCGTCGAGAAATTCCCGCTCCCGAGGGACTTTCCCCGCTGAGAAACACGTCGCGCCGCTAAACTCTCCTGTCTGCCTGGAAAATTTTCTCATCCCTTCACCCCTTGGATTTCTCGCACCGGTAGGGTTGCGGACGACGAGCAGAGGGCGGAGGGGCTAATTAGCGGCCGGCGAATTTGCGTGGCCCCGAAACGTGAGTTTTCACTGGAAATTTTCACGCGTCCGACAGCCGGTCGAAATTTGCCGAAGATAAGGGCGAGCGTGGGGCTCCGGATCGCGCGACGGATCCTGCCGTCATTTTCCCTCGCTCCCTTACGATATGCCCGCTGCGTCTAATGGCCCGATCCGTCGCGACGTTACGCGTCATAAAGTCCTCCTATCAGATGGTTTCCACGAAACCATCCGGCTGAGGTCGAAGTGCGGAATTACAGTCCACTCGCGACTCGCACTTGCCAATTACACGGCCAGTAGGTATTATTTATACGTCCAATCGGCCCGATCGGACGTCGATGGAGATCCCGCCGAAAGCTTCGGCGAAATCACGGATATCGCATCATTATGCGAATGGAAGTGCGAAAAAGAAGGGACGTGAGGAAAAATAGTATTCGTCGGTCGGCAGTTTTCCGATTTTCCGACGAGGCAAAGAGAGAGAGAGGGAGAGAGAGGGAGAGAGAGAGAGAGAGAGAAGAGGGAAAGAGGTACTTCACCTCGACAACAAGGCAAGACCACGTCCGTTGAACTTCACCGAGAGAGCCGTCATTAAATAGACGCTTCTTTCGCGATCCTCGCGCTTTGGATAGCTACACACGTGCGAATGCTCTATTCGAAGGTCGCGACACCGCCTCTACGGTCACCGGTACCCACGTGCCGTGAATTCTGACGTGCCGCGAGATCTGTTGTCATCGATTCCTATTGTCGCATACACATGAGCCGCGCGATTGCCAGAGGAGAGAACGAGCCGCGGAGAGTAGCGACCTTTGCTCCATTTTGCTCGTCGTCGATTCCATCACCGGAGGATTCAGTCGCGGTGAATAAGCGACTTCGATGTTCTCTCTCCTCGGCCGCGCCTCTTCGTCCCTCCTCGTCGACGTTACCCACCTTCTTCGCGGTTCTCACCTGTTCTCCCGTTTTCCCGCAGACTCCCTTCCCGCTTTCTGTCTCCGTCTTTCTCTGGTCTCGTCTCGCGGATCGCGCGTCGCGACGCCACGTCATGCCACGCGCCGTAAAACGCCCTACCTATCCTATCTCGGTCGCGGCTTTCCACGAAACTCCGCGGCGGAGAGTCGCGCGACAAGAGAAGCGAACAGAGAGAGCGAGAAAGAGAGAGAAAGAGAGAGAGAGAGAGAGAGAGAGAGAGACGGCGCGTGAGCGAGTAGAGCGGACTAACAGGATCAATTCGGGGTTCCCTTCGCGCGCGCTGCTCTCGTTCTCTCGCCGCGCGTTCAGGACGACTCCGCGACGCCGGATTTAGACCACGGGGGTCGTGGCTGCGCGACCCCAGACGCCGCGACGCCGGCATTGTGTCCCGACGCTAATTTTACAATAGCTGTCTCACAGCCAGACGCGAACGAGAAAAGCACGTGCGCCGACGGTGGCGGCGGTGGTGGCGGCGGTGACGGCGGTGACGGCGGCGGCGGCGGCGGCGGCGGCGGCGGCGGCGGTGGTGGCGACGGTGGCGGCGGCGGCGGCGGCGACGACGGCGACGGCGGTGGTAGCGGCGTCTCGACGTTCCTCGAGAACGACAACGACGACCAAGTCAACGACGCTCGGAAACTAGCGGCTTGAACGGCGCGCGTCGTCGACATCGACGGAAAAGAAAAGAAAAAGTCGGGGCTCCCGAGACGGCGTGAAGATGAGCGCGAGAAGGAAAGCGGGGGCGGCGGAGGAAGCGAGCGACTTGAACGGTGTAATTTTTGAGAAGAAGAAAGAGACGAGAGGAGAGAGAGGAGCAGGGTGGACGGGAAGTAGGAAAGATTCCATTATCGTGATGAAACACTTGTTCACTAGACTTAATTAGTGATGTCAATTCTCCCCGGATATCCTGAAATTATCTGGAATGTTGAAACACCTGAATATTTATTACTCACTTTGTTATTACTTCTCCTTGCTTGTTCTTCCAGTCACGTTCTCCGTGCAGGACATTATTCAGGTAATAATAATAATTAAAATAATACTTCTTGGACTTTATTTAAATCCAATTTAAATAATAATCCGGTAATAATGATAGTAACAACCGTATGTTATTACCGTGATAATCAGATGTACCGAGTCGAAACACTTTTGCAAACAGATCCGCACGTTACTCTTTGCTCGAATCGATGTTCTCTTCGTGTAAATCCGCGTGTAAGTCTTCACAAGTAAGGTCAAAGGTGGGGAAACCTTACGAAACGTTTAGCTTTCGTGTCGAGGAACACGTCGAGATAAAATACGAATTACCTGGTAGCGAAGAAGAAAAGGAGGAAAAATGACACATGAATCCACTTACAAAAACGTTTTGATCCCAGTAAACGGACAGTTTATCCCGACGGCAGTAGTAGATCTAACGGCACGGTAAATTCGGTGCGCGAGTGTGTGGACGCGCGTACATGTGCTGTTGCGTGACTTCAGGATCGCCGCGACTACCGGGTAATTATGTCGATTACGATATGCAATATCCGGCGCGCGGTGCGGCGCGGCGTTCCCCATCGGATTAACGCTGCTGATCGACGGCGATTATGATAACGAGAGGCCTGCGAGCTATGCGCGCCGGCCGGGTTAAAGTCGATAAGTCGGTGGGGATTTTTGCGACAGCGAGCATCGCGCGCGAGCGGAATACTCCGCGTCGAATATGAAGCGGAATCGCGGGTCGATCGTTATAGGTCGATACGCGCGATACGAGTCGGCCGTAATAGACGTCGGGGACTTGCGGGTGCGGATTAGGACTGCCATTCGGATAACTAATCGCCCCCGGATATCTTCGAGATCGGTTTCGACGCGGAAACTCAAAATCGCACTGCCCGGCTCGCCCGAATATTCCGACTCATTCGGTTCAAATTGCAATGAAGATCCGGCTTTAGAACCGAACCGAGTCCGAAGCTCGGATACGAATTTTATAAGAAGAAGCGGGCAGTTAAATGAAAAAAAAAAGAAAAGAAAGAAACACGGGTCCACTCAATAGTGAAGTTAGAGTAGGAGGTAATTATCATTGGAACGTACAAACGAGCACGATCTCGCCTCAAATTACACAGCGTGAAATTGAACAGACAAGAGACGCTGTTCCATTGATCGTCGAAATTTTCGAGAGGGATCGAGAGCTCGCTGCGAATGTGGCTGGCCGATTCTACTTTAAGTCATAGACTTGTACACGTAGACTGAACGCTCCGCAAGAGGCTGCGAAGAGCCTACGTCTGAAGAAGATGGCCTGGAAGCCACACAGGCGCGTTCGATCTTCGTCTAGCTTCGGTCTCATTGGAGGAGGCTAGACGAAGACACTGGCATGCCTGTGGACAGTGAAAGGGGAATATAGCCGTTCTTTATATCTTGTCTTCCAATCTCCATCGGAGGAGGGAGCACACACAGTCACACAAATTGTGTACAAATCTGCGACTTAAAACCAGATTTAGAGCCGGCTGCGAATTTCCGACGATTTTCTAGTGCCTGAACATTTGAAAAAATTGCAATGCCAAGGACGAGACATTCTCGGAGAGGAATTACTTACGGTTTGCGTGCGCCGCGACGTTTGCATACGTTCGACGTGCCGCGAACACCAATATCAAACTGGATGCAGATGAAATTTTTGCAGGTTCTATTACCTGAGCCCACGAGAAGGCCCGCCTCTCACGTTACTCGTTAGCCCGTGCAGCGGCCCAATCTCATGGACGGTCAGTTACGTGGAGCCGCCCGAAAACGATCAGGAAGCGGAAGGAATAAAGTGTACGTGAAATCCTGCTCGTTCTTAATAGCCACCGGCTATGAGTTCGGGCAAACAGTTTTATCGTTTCGTTTAATATTAGCGATTTATGTAAATATTTAGCGAGACGCCGAGGCTCTTATTGGCCGATCTGTCCCCCTCCCCTGTCCCCCGCTAACCCGTAGATTTATAATCTTGCGAGAACCGTTGCGAGAGCCTCGGCAAATATTTAGTCCCCGAGTACAGCCGCGATTTTACACGGAGGCGCCGTCAAGCCTTCGCACGTCAAGCTCGCGCTTGTCGATAACACAATCGATAGCTCCCGAAGCGCAAAGGTCGACGCAGGTAGGCGCATCGGGTCACTTCCCGCGAGAACTCGCGCTCGGTCTCCTCGTCTGCTTTCTCCCCGTTTCCTCTGCTTTCCCTGTGCTTGCCGTTTCGCTCTCCTCCGTATTTTCCTCCGCGCGGGAGGGAGACACGCGCGCGCGCGCGTGTACGCGATACCTTCGGTACCAAAGGGCAGAGTACGCTCCGACGAGAGGAGCAGCGCAGAGTATTAACTTGATAGAGTACTGTTCGTAATCACCTCGTACACGATGGGCCTGAAATAATCGGGTGCTCGTGCAATTCCGCTACGTCGCTGCTCGGCTGCTCGGCTGCTCGGCTGCTCGGCTGCTCGAATGATTCCGAATCAATTTGCCACGTAGCGCAAACGCGGTGGCCCGTGAAGACCCTGAAGCCGGGCTCGCCTCTCTTCACGTACGAAGGCGCGGACGACCAAAATTTCACGATACCAAAGACGCGGGCCGGTCTTTACTGGTTCGAGATCAAGTCCGTGGACCCGGCGACCGACAACGGCGACTCGACGAGCCGCTCGTCTCCCGGCACCGTGCTCCTGTACGCGACGTCCAGCTCCTTGGATCACGTGCCGGGCATTTACGCCAACGACAAGGAGCACCGGCATCGCTCACTGAGGTTTCAGCAGCGCCGGAGCAAACGTCGACTCACGGTATCCTGGAACAAAAGGTACGCAGCCACACCGCGTCCTTCACCCTAGCACTTGTCTTCTCCTTACCTCCTCCTCTCTCCATCTCTCCTCCCCCTCCTGTTCGCCGGTCAGTTTCTCTCGCTGAACGCTGATTCCAACCGAATTCACACCGCGGCTCCTTAATCCCCGCGAGAAGACCGCGCGTAATTAGCCGCTATTTCGGCGCGCGACCTGCTTGGCATGGCGGATGAAAGTTTCCATGGACATCCGAATGCCAAGAATTTCATTAGCAAGGACGACACAGCGGGAACACGAGCCCGAGTGTTGGCGTCGGGTGTCCCGTGATTATACTTGAGCAATGGACGAGACGCCTTGCGCCTATCGCGACACCTTCCTCCCTTCCTTTCCTCCTTCCTTCTTCTTCTTCTTCTTCTCTCCTGTTTCTTTCGTCGTCGTCGTCGTCGTTGTCGCAGTCGTCATCGCGATGCCATCGAAATTCGCGAGGCGCGGAAACTTGGCCACAGGTCCGGCCTCGTAGCTGCGCTTACCAGCCGGAACCTCTTTGCTCTTTTCCAGCCACGTGGACCCTCACCTGTCCAACTACTGTTTAGCCGTGACGTCCGGCACGCAGCCGCAGCCGTCGACGCTCTGCGCCGCTCGGGACGTTCTCAAGGCGCACCCGCACACCACGAGAACCGGCTCCTCCTCGAAGGAGCACCATCATCGGGGCCACCCGGAAGGGCTGCACTGCGTGCGGCAGACCAAGCTGACGCTCCACAGAATGCGATACGACGCTACGTACAACTTCACTCTATACGTGGTCGGTGCTACTCTCTCCCGTCAACTTCTCTCGCGGCCGAATCAATCGCTCTTGCTCTCTCTCTCTCTCTCTCTCTCTCTCTCTCTCTCTCTCTCTCTCTCTCTCTCTCTCTCGTAAAGTCCTAGATCGCTCGCTCGCAACACCGATCTCGGGAGACGCGGGAAGAAAAATGAAAAAGAACACGCACACACACATTAAGAGTCCCGTCCGAATTGATGAAAATACCGTGTAACGCTCGTCCGACAGGTGAACACGCGGAACAACGTTTCCAATCGGGTCGCCGTCGACAGCATCAGGTTCAAAAAGCCGGAGCTGACACTGCGGACCGGCCGCTACACCACGGCTAATCTGCGGAAGACGGATGGCTTCGTGAACTTCCGCTATCGGCCGCCGGATAACACCTCGAGCATCTTTCACATACTTCCCTGCGGCGGCGGCATCGTCAAGGCGAAATTGAGCGGGCCAGAAGTATTGCGGGTAAAAGAGCGCCGTTGAGACGCGAAAATTGCTTGCGGAAGAGATCGGGGAGACTTGACACGCGCGAATCGACTCGTGAGATCTGGTGAATTAATCTCGCGCGGTTCATTGCGATCTCGACCGACCGGAATAATTGAGAGTCTAGTTTGACAGATCCTCGCATATTTACGAGTAACTTAAGCGATCGATTATTTATCAGCACAATCGATCAAATCTCAAAGCGATCGCTGCCGGAGCCATCGCTCGCGTCGGAATCGGCCGATGTTGATTTTCATCACTGTAGTCGATCGAAATCTCTCAGTCGATTAATGTTAGCCCGATACTGTTAGCCGCCAAGCGCCATAACTTATCCGAGCGTTCTTCATGATCGCGTCGATACGCATGTAAGCGTGTAACTATGTCGTGTAGGAGAAAGAAGTGGTGGGATATGCCTCATTACGTGTACCTCCTCTGCCTCCCGGTAAGACGTACACGTTGCGTATATCGACCACACCGCAGGAGCTGGTCCGAGTATCCACTATAAAAGTCTTGGCCACGCAGGAGTCATCCACCATTTATCCGCAAGTACGTTGGATTAGAAAAATTTACTTCTTCATTGAGCGTTTCTTCCCGCGCGGTGGGTACCAACAGCATACTCTCCGATACCGATATACAAACTTCAGCATTGGGACCAAATTTTTCTCGAGTGCGAAAATCTATCAGGGGTACCGGAAAGTCTTTTGCTTTAATTTTCTTGGTTATATCATAGTTATATTTAATTTTCGTGGTTATACTTATAGAGTTCTTAATTTTAATCCAGAATTAATTTAAATCCCAGGTTAGTTAACAACATTCTTTTATTGTGTATATCAACTTTCATTAAAATCGAACTTTGGAGAATCGAACTACTCTTGGAAAATGGCAGCGTTTGAACCAAGTGAAGGACACGGAAAAACGAAAGGACTTTCCGATATCCCTAGATACATTTTCTTCAAATCGCAACTCTTCTCCCCACGAAGGCTCGTTCTATTCAAACGAGAGAGCTTTAGCTTTTGAATAAATATGTTATCGGTGCCCATAATATAAATATTTATCTTCTTAGATATTTCTTCCTCTCGCTGCGAATGAATATATGTTTGAGCTTACGCGTTTAGTTACTTGCACATTTGGTTTTACGTCACGCATCGGCGGGCGTTTTTTACCGGCCTTTGGAGATATTCACTCGAACTCTTATCGGCATCGTGTTGATACCGGCGTGCATCGCGCGTTCCATCCTTTTCACCCCTTTGACGCAGATACCGACGAAAAATCCGCCGCGAGAGTACCGGTCCCTGAGGACCTGTCACGAAGTGACGATAGGCGTGGAGCCTGCCGGCGCCGCCAAGTACTGCATCCTGGTGAAGGAGCTGCGGAGCTCCTCGTCTTTGGCGAGCGTCACGACCGTTCCGGACCAGTGCGGGCTCCATCGGCGCAGACGGTCCGAGTATACGTTCGAGGTCTGCAAGGAGCAGCGGGACCCGCCGAAGGACCGGGCGCTACCGTTCACGCTGACAAGGCTGCAGCCTGGCAAGGCTTACCTGCTGCAGATCACGGCGCAGCTGAAGGGCCAATCCTTGTCCTATCCGCTGCTGGGTGTGCGCACACGGCGTTTCTGTGACACATGATCCACATGATTCCTACTGAGCGAACTGCGGCAACAGCGACTCGACGATAATCTACACCGCTAGTGACTTCTTAGATTTCCTCCTCCCCGAGCTCTCTGTTATGATTAAAAGATAATTTATCATCACGAAGATACATCCACGATGCCCGTGAAATCTGATCCATCTTCGCGCGAGGACATTCGGATGCCAATCGGATATCGCGCTCGGTCGTTCACTTTCGGCGCCGATGTGTAGTCGTCGCTCGAAACTTGTCGCTCTCAAGTGAGACACACTTGGATTTCGAGTCGAAATTGGACGTGAGTTCTTCTTCTCTGAGTCGCGATTGTAGATTGCTCTCGGTGCGCTATTAATAGTTGCCACGCTTGAATGTGAGACCTCTGGAGCTGGTGACCTCCAGATCGTGTGACAAACGCGATCAAGCTGAAGATTCGCGTCTAACTGTGGATTCAAATCGACCGAGTATCATACACGATTACTACTGAGATCATGCACAGTTTCAAGCGTGATTACTGATACGTGTCATATATATCATACGCTTCAACTGAAAATGAAACTTTCAATCAAAGTGAAATGAAGTTAAAATCTGAATTAAATTAAAGTCTGAGTATCTCGCGCGAAAAATAGGTCGAGACAACTGTTGATAGGAATCTTCGAGAGTGACGTGGAAAATCGAGTTTCGGAGGTTCATCCGAACAAGTAAATGCCATCGTATTTTTTTATATTTCTAAATTTCCTGTCGCGAGATAAAGACAAATATCGATCGCGATATTTAAAGTGAATCTTGCGGGTTTTCTGTCTTGTCGTTCGATCGATGTAGGGAGGGGGGAGGAGGAGGGATATTGGAGAGTCGTTATCGGGTTCGGGGATTACGTTCGGTCGCATTTCGAGGCACAGTCTAGTCTAGATTTTACGCAACGTACAATCGCGGCGTCCGCGGCGGGCGCGGGGCGACCATACACACATCGACGTATATTTTGCTATTTGTGTAATGTACATGTACATTCTTATATATATACGGTACGCCTTTTTATCTTGGATAAGTCGACACCGAGTATTTCTGCAACTTACACGGCGAATTTGTAGTCGGATGTAAGCCGCGCTCGAAATCGCGAGAGCGAGAATGAGGAAATCGATTTAGATAGATAAGTAAGTCAACGCTTGTTCGCGCACCTGCGGTGTGCGAGCAACGAAGCACGCCTTGACACATTCGTAATAAAAGTTACAAGAATCGTTCCTGTGACACACACACACACAGACACACACACACACACACACACACACACACACACACACACACACGACACATATACACAAGCCTTACTCCTTCTTCCTTTAATCATGCGAATAAAAATATGTATCAGAATTTATATTCACTATAGTACAAAACTGATAACGTCGCTTGACGTCCCACAAAATTTAATTGCAAAGTATTTAATTGTAAATTAAATTGTATCTGGACACGTGAAAAATTGTCAGGATTAATTTTTGTCAGATGACTCGAGATTGTCAGTATTAATGTCTGATTGGTAATTCGAGACTGTAAGAATTAATTAATTTGGTCACTTGCAATCAGAAGATGATCTCTCTGTCTCGATACTTTCGCCGAAGAAGAAAATTCAAACTGGGGGATCGCCCACGCTGTGGGATCGTCGTACAACATGTCGTCTAATATCATGCCGATGAATGATAAAAGCACAAGCAGCTGATCGCGATCAGTCCTCGTTACCGATTAACGATCAAGGCCTAATGACCGAGTTGCAGTTTGATGAGTCTCAGGAGCTTCTCGCCTGGCGAATTTGGCGGTTCCCACTGCAGCAAGGAGGCCGCTCTCGAGAGATGGGCTAGCCTGTCTTCTCCGGGACAGATTGCAAGCTCTCGCAGAGTGACAGCCGTGTAAAGCGCCAAGCGCGCACCGTGCGGGTCCAGACGGGTTACCGTGTCCATGATGCGCTTGCACAAATCTGACTTCCGAGGGTCGCTGGGCGATAGCAGCTGTATCAGCGAGTGGCTCACGGACACGCAATGCTGATGTCCGGGATGCAGAAGCACCGTCAGCCTAAGAAATTTAATTAATTGTTACTCGAGAGTCAACGCACTCCGTAAATTTCTTGAGGAGGAACTCATCGAAAATGAATAAAAACTCACCGGAGACGGCGGTTAAAGTAAATTTCTCGCTTGCGAAAGATTACAAAAGCGAACGTTTCACGCAAACTTCACCATTTCAGGCTTGAATTCATCCAAGTCTGAAGAAGACGATGCAATTTTTCAATAAAATCCGTAATACGGTAATACGGCGGGACTTCTCTACCTCTTATGGTGAATATTTATTGAATTAAACTCGTTATTTGAATTGAAGTGAAAAAATGGAACGCGTATCTAAATACATCTGTAAGATGTACCTCGAAGAGGCTCAAGTGGATGATTACACTGAATGAAGAATTCGTTTTACACGCGTAGGAAGCCTATCGAAGTCTATCCGCAGGACTCGGCTGCCACCTCTTTACTTTTCGAGCGAAATTCCACCGCGAGAAACTTGGAGACGAAGTCAAACCGGACCGACGGGTCAAGGCAGAAGTACGGAGTTGTTTTACCGCGACAAAAGGTCGGAAAGGGTATGCGCAGTCGCCTTCCTCATGACTCCCGTGACTTCTTCCTCCAGCTTGTCCGACAACTGCGCGACTTCCGCGGACGTGACTGTTCCAGGACACGCGGTGCAGGACCACTCGGTGTCGGGGTTCAGAGGATCGTCCGCTAACATGAGACCGTTCTTGCAGGGACACTGCAAGCTGCCCAAGTGCGCGCCCAATTCCGTCGGATCGGCGCAGCGTTCGCACCGGCAGCTGAAGTATTTCGTCGCGAGGAGATGCTCTCGTCTGGCCCGCGTGGACCAAAGCGCGTGCGTGTACATGGTGCTCAAATGCTCTCCTCTGGAAAAGGAAGCAACGAACTCTTTGTGGGAAAATATACAAAGGGACAAGAATCGGACGAACTACGGTGTAAAGGATTCTCTGACATCGAATCAATCAATCCGAGGATGAAAGACCTTCAAGCGCCCTGAAGTAAAAAAATGGTAACGCAAAGCAGTCACAAATTAAATAAAAGAATAAGTCACGATTAAACTAGGAATAATTAAGAACAAATTAAAGATAATTAAGAATAAATTGAATATAAAGAAGAAAGTTACTACGCTTCTATCTGATTTGGGGTCCTTCTTGGTGCTTGACATTTGAAACTAATCGATGACGATGTGAACTACCGATGTGGCGAACAAACGATGAGTTCTGCGAAAGTATGAACGTACTTTTTGATGAAGGTGATCGCGTTCACCGTGATGCGCGGCCTGCCTTTGTCGTCGAGACGGAAACTGTGGCGCGTGTTCGCCATGCAGGAGTGCTCCAGGAGGGACATGTTCTCGTAGATGGCGACCGAACCCTCCGGCGGCATAGTCTCCAGCGCATTCACGTCGATCAAGCCGCAAATTTTCGGCAAGACGCTCTTACAACAGGGCACCATTGCCACAATCGGCTCGAGATATTGACTTATGCTCATCACCTCCTCGTACGCCTCCGTGCCGGGTCCTCGCGAGTCCTCGTGACTTTGCAGATTGGTCAAGGATGTCCAGCGTTTCGATTTGGTGCGCCACAGTATCAGCATACGGATCACCAGCAGTACGTCGCATCTGCGAATGCGGACGGTAAGTTTACGGCGAACACAGGAAGGCGAGTCCGAGTGTGGATAAAAAGGAAGAGATAGAGAGAGAGAGAGAGAGAGAGAGAGAGAGAGAGAGAGAGAGAAGAAAAAAAGGAAGCTCTCAAGCGTGCGACTCGTTGAAAGTCTTAATTATTTCACAAGCATTTCTTAGCTGAAGAATTAGATTTTTAATTGAACACCTTCTTTCTTTTTAATTGAACATTTTTTATTGAAAAATAAGAATGCATCAGTCTATTTCTCTCTCCTTAAGGACCAGATCCACTTTTATACCGCGAAAGTAGATGCAACCGGGAGAATTGGAGACGTTGATGAGAATAAAACTCCACATCAACCGAATGACTTTATTCGACAAAAAAGAAACGTCCCCAAATGGGACCCTTTTTTATTTGTTACTCGAGAATTAAAAAGGCGTCTTCACCGTGCGTCCTGGAACCTGGGCCCCAGGTCGTCAACACGTCGAGCGTCGCGCGTCGCGTCGCGTCGAAAAAAATGAGCTGCTCCCCTCCTCTCTCGTTAAACGTCTCTCGCTAATTAAGCCGCGGAGCAGCTGTTGCAAAGCCGCGGCGGGGGTTAACGCGCCAAGGTACCTGGGAATGATTCTAATATGTGCAAGGAGGGCGCACTCCGGCTGGTGTCTCTTCTTGTCCGTGAGGCCCTCGCAGTCGAGTCTGCACACCGGCCAGCGGCATTTGCCGCATCTCGCGTCGATCTCGGCGCATTGTTTGCCGCAGCCGACGCAGAGCCGCTGGTCCCGCGCGTGAATCGACGGGCCCCAGGCCAAAGGCACCTCCGACAGGATCACGTCCCCCGGCGCGAGGTCGCGGGCGGCCAATAGGTGTCGGCCGAGCTGGGGATCCTGGCCGATCTCCCAGGCGCAGCACAAGGACTTGTGACGCGGCCAGTCCCGCGACTGGTGGGACTTGTCGCAGTAGAACTCGCGCCTGCAGTTGCCGCACTTCAACGTCGCGTCCTTGCCGCACACCGGACAGACGCCGTGAGTCGCAGTCTCGCCGGCGGTCTCCATGGCCGATTGATTAATCTTGAAATTATCGGCGAGAGAACGATCTGATTCGAGTGACGAGAAAGCTCCTGACGTCGATCGGAAAGAAGGAAAACAGAGGCGGAAGAGAGAAGAGGTAAGCGCGAGAGCCGCGCCGCGCCGCGCTGCGAAGTAAGATACGTATTTGAACTTGGCGTCGCGCAAGTGTGTAATTTATAAGCGGACTTCTCGATCTCAATGCTAGACTCTCCTCGGCTGATCATAATTTATAAATATACGGGAATACTCGAATTGAACACGGAGCATAATCTGCAGATGAGAAGGAGAGACACAGAAGTGGGTCAAACTGCGGGGGGAACAATGTCGGGGAAAATACGAGATGAGATTTAATTCTAATTTTAATTCCGCTTCATCAACGAGAGAATAATCGGCCGGTCAGCTCCCGAGCGTCGCAGTACGCAGCGTGTTAAAGTATTACTTACACCGCGCTCACTCGGAGGGTTAACGACGATCCTCGGGCGATGCGAGACGCTCGCACGCGCGAATCGGGATTACAAGCTATCGGATTTCCGCAATTTTTCGCGGTGGAGCCGCACTTCAGTCACGAAAACACCGTACACCGGCTGCTAACTTTATCACACTGAACAACCGGCGCCTGTGCTAGCGCGATGGTCGCGTTTAATTATAGGCCGGACGGCCGCATATACACGCTACTATTTCCGTACGGCGTGGGGAACGACGATTTTTCTATGGATCGCGCTGTATAGATCGGATGTAGCGGCGTATACGCCGTCCTGAATTATTGGGTTGGCAACTAAGTGATTGCGGATTTTAAATAAGAATGAAAATTCAAAATTCAAAATTTGCTTTTTAAAATTTTTTTCAATGCATGTATGCGATACATTGAGCTTCTCTGCAATATCACGTGTTGTGCTATGACGATCTGAATCGATAATGGCCTTGATATGGGTCTCATTGACTTCAACTGGACGGCCAGATCGTTGAATATTTTTCAATGAAAAATCACCGGAACGAAATCTGGCAAACCAATTTTGACACTGCCTTTCTTTCAAGGCTTCATTCCCATATACGGCACATAACTTCTTGTGTGCTTGCGATGCGTTCTTGCCTTTTCGGAAATAATACAATAAAATATGTCTGAAGTGCACAGCTCTTGCTCTTCCATTTTTAAATTGGGATAAAAACAAAACTAAACAACTAATCGATATAATTTTTGTACTAAATGAAAGGTAGAAGTCCAAACAATAAGAAAAAAATATAGGTTAGGTACTTTGAACACGTTAACGAAACAAAAGAAAGTGTAAAATCCATCTGTCGACAAAATCCGCAATCACTTAGTTGCCAACCCAATAGATTGATATGAAAGGACACACCGAGTGTGAGTCGATTATCGAACGATCCGACAGGTGCAGCCGAAGATCGTACTGTTACGGTGATATTTCGCGAGTTGGAGCCGACAGCGCGTCCAAAAAAAATATTCTATTTGTAAAGTGATTTTTCCCATAATCTCGTATTCGAAGTGAAGCCTTTTACTTTTGAAAGGATTCCTCTTTCGATAAAGCGATTAAAGTGAACCATTCATCTAAAATTTATTAGATATTATTCTGTTTTTCTTTTATTTCAATAGAATTTCCTCTTATATTAATTTTATATTATATTAAAATTAATTTTAATATTAATTTTATATTAATAAAATTTACCTGTATCTAGTATCCCATATTCGTATATTAAATACAGTTTATAATCTATTGCAAGAAGTTGGATAATATATTCTGTCTTTTAACTATGTTTCAATTGATTATGACGAACATCTTTGTAGCTATGAAGTATCCGTAATAAAACTGATTGGAAATTTATTTGTTATGATGATTGTATTTATTTCATTCGTGCCTACTTATTGTAAAACTGGGGCCAGAAATATATCTATATGTATATTACTTTTCGCTACACATTATAATCTTTTCATGTTAACTAGTACAGCCGGTAAGAATAAATAATAATCCTCTTAAAAGAAGACTAAATAATCTGTGTATAAGAGGAAATTTATATTAAAATCAATAAGATTTGTATTATACGTATAACATATAATCTCTCCAACTTTAAGAATAATATGTTTATAATATTTTCCTCTTAATCTTAGAGGGATCCTCTTAAGGTCGTATAAGAATAAAATATATAAATAATAAATATAAAATATAAAATAATATAAAATATAAAATATAAAATATAAATAAATATAAAAATATATAAATAAAATATAAGAATAAAATAAAATCCTCTAAAGTTCAGATGATTCCGCTTATTCTGAAATTACTTCTTTTGGGTGCGATGCGTTTCCGGTCCGAGGATGAAACGAAGCTGCTCTACGCACCTAGATCATCCTCGAGCCGGTGCGCGATCGACCCGTCGTTACTTCCCCGCGCAGGTATGAGGAACGAACAAAGGTCTAGATAATATTTCGATTTATTATTAAACGTGCCTACATGATACAAATCAGGGGACAACACAATTCTTCATTATCACTTTATGACGTAGTAAATATGTATGTTTTTATCTTTCTCCCTCCCTCCTGCGTGTACGTGTGATGAGACTCTCTAATAATTATACACCTTATCTATAGGAGGAGATGGGATTATAATTTAACGATGTTCATCAGATTCGGTACACAGACTATCACAAAGTTGATTGCTGGTTCGGGTTCGTACATGGGTGTTTCTAAAATGATCACAGCCGCGAGCTGAACGACATAAAGGTAACGCACTCCAAAAGCAAGTCCCCGTTATCCCCGTGTGTGTTTCAATTTGCTAATTATCTCCGATCCTTTACGATTCTTTAGAGACCGTTTCCGCGGAAACGTCGTCGATAAACCGCGTTGAATACGTGCGAGAACGTGATTTTTAACGTTACGCCGCGCTATCTTCCATCCGCCTCCATCCGCTGATCCCGCTCTGTTCTCGCTTGTACATTTCGCTCGAACATCAATTTTAATTTCCGCCGCAAAGGTCGATACGTCGGAACTGGAAGATGCGTCGGTACTCGAAATCGCATTCGAAATCGGGGCAAGTGACACGATTGAACAATAAATTGTCTTTTCCCTCCCCGATATATAATTCCCGATATATATCGTGAAATTCAAATATTACAATGTACATAGTCCGAACACTGCATATAATTATAATTACATTGTAATTATAAGTTACATAAATTTCTTTACACAATTGCAATATTACAATTGCGAATTATAATATTCCAATTTTTCATACAATTATATAATATTATAATTATAACTTCTCACGTATAATTTTGATATAATTGTAATTATATCATGATTATATAATTTGAAATTTTCACAGCGTAAATTCCCCGGAGAACCTCCAGTCTCGATATCACACCGACAATTCCGGCATGCCGCGTGTAGAATTCAGTTTGCTGAATTTTCGACGTCGTTCCCCTTCAGAGCACCAAGACCGACCGCTCGTTCCGATTCCGAGGTATCGACGTGGAAATACGGATACGCGGTTGACGCTTGTATGCAATTTTAGAATGCACCCGGTACGTAGCATCATTTATGAAGTACGAGTCGCTCAATGACCATGAGAATGACACCATTGTTCTTTTTTTTTTTCCTTTTTCTTTACACCTTATTATACAAATACAACGAAACACCGTTAATTCTTATCATTTCCGTCGCAGCATTGGAAAGACGCGTACGCACGTGCAAATATACGCACACGCGTGTTCCCAATGCGTGTACGCGTGTATCCCTAAGGTACTCCACGGTGCGACGCGAATGCGACCGCGTCCGCAAATAATCGGCCGGTACTCGCTGATCGCTGGCGTCGAAACGGATCGCGCGAATTGCGTCCACGATATTGTTCGCAACGCGGTTTATGGAAGAAAAGAAACAAGTCCGTCAGTGCGACTGAATTTCCCATCACCTGGGAGGGACCGGACGGGAAGCTCGATCGCGAGAAGAGAAACATCCTCGAGCAGCGGGTTCCTGCGCGAACAATGGTTCTCGCTAATTGAGAACAAAGTGTATTTGGTATTTGTCGCTATAATCGCGCAGCGAAGGAATCAGGAATCAAAGGAACCATTTCTGTGGCAAGTGTCATTGCACCGTTAGCGATAAAAACTTTACATGTACGTCGCTATCACTAATTTTTCGGTTTCTGCAGCAAGAACAAGATACACTTGGCGCCGAAAAATAACTACAACCTCTGTGATTAATCATTCTTTCCCTCAGTGTCATTATTTTTAATTTGTAACAGGTACGGTGTGTCCTTTTGGTCAAGCTATCAGTGCAATGGGATCAGGCACGACTCCGGTCAAATTCTGCCGTTTTTAATGCAAAAACCAACGATGAGTAGAAGGATGTTAAAACCGAATTTTCACATAACCGAAAATATTCGCGACAAAGAATTTTCGGCCGTGTCGCCGAATTTCCGTCCGATTTCTATTCAGTCGCACGAACCGAGATCTTCCTTCTTCCGCGCACCGGACGAATGTTTTTGCGGCTCGCGCGTCGCCATCATCACTGCCGTCATCGTCGTCGTCGTCGTCGTCGTCGCCGTCGTCGTCGTCGTCGTCGTCGTCGTCGTCGTCGTCGTCATCATCGTCGTCGTCGTCGTCATGTGCGTCGATCGTCGGTATATCGCTAACTCTGCGCTATGCACGTATATATATATATATATATATATATTTATATATATATATATTTTTTATATTTATATATAATTATATGTAGAATGCATTATATACGAACTCGCCGCGCGGCTCGCAGCCGCGCGTGACGGAAACACCGAAGCACATGCAAAACAACTCAAATGTAACGCAACGGTGCACGACTCTTCTCGCCGACTTTCTCTCTCGCTCCCCCTCCCTCTCTCTTTTCTTCTCCCGCTCTTCTCCCTGCTCTCTCCCATAAATAGAATAAATTATTTCTCTCTATTTACAAATAGTACTTCCTCCAGGATGTTTGTGTTTACGTAGGCCTGTTCTCCCGCCGCGCGTTTAGCGTTAGTGCCGGTTACAGCCGGACAAGACACTTCTCTCGATCGCGTCGGGCTTGATTTTTGCCTCGACTGCTCGCTCATGCTCCTTGTCGCGCGGCAAAAGAGAGGGAGAGAAAGAGAGAGAGAGAGAGAGAGAGAGGGAGGGAGAGAGAGAGAGAGAGAGAAGCCTCTCTCTGGATGTTGCAAAGACCGCGGTTTCGTCGTCTGAGCCGCGATGCGCCTGTCTGTGTTTCATTCGTCCGCCGGACGAATCGGGCGTAATGTAACGCTAAACGCACGGTGAGCTATTGTTGTTTCTAAATGTACACCTCTCGTCCGCCCCTCGAGCTCGCGCGGATCTCTCGCGGCGACCGTTCGACAGAATCGGCGACGAACGAGCTCTCGCCTCCTTCGTATCAAAATATATGAAAATCGCGCAACCACGGCAACCAACGTCGCTCTCTCTTTCTCGTTCTCTCTGCTCCTCGAGGGTGACGAGGGGATTCCGGACGACAAATTGACGTGACGTGAAGAGTCGAAATCGCACGACATCCCTCCGGCCTCCCGTGTGTCTCCGACGATAATTATAGAGCAACGTCGATTGCGTCGCGATTCCGATGCGCTGATATTATTACATCGATTTGCTATGTGCGTGTAAGTCTGTATGTATGTGTATGTGTGTGTGTGTGTGTGTGTATACGCGGTACGTGTGTGGTCTCGCGTGTGTGTCTAGTAAAAATATGCGCGTGTATCAAGCCGCACCCGTTGATGAATGAACGTTCGTCGCCGTTCCGCCAAACATCCCGCCGGCGATCGTGTAACTTCCCTCCCAGGAGCGGAAACGCGAAAGTGTTTCACACATTTTCCTTGCTTGAAAACTCGCACGATCCTTACCCGGTAACCGCCCGGTAATGTTACGCAGTGATATCACATCGAAATATTATTGTAATTGCAATGCGATAATATAATTATATCATAATTCATTATATAATTACATTATAATTATAATTACACCAATATTGTATTATCATATGTCAATACAATCTCTCACTCAGCAATGCAAGCGTGCTGTAATGTCGCACGGCGTGACAGTCGCATTGTCGAGCGAGAAAGCACAACATTGACGTAATAATGCCGCACCGCCGGTCGTCGTTTCCCGGATAAAGTCGTGCGGTTCGCGCGCGAAACTTTTCGCTCTTCGCGTTTCCGTTCTCCGGAGAGAGCCGCAGAATCGTCAGCCGGAGCGCGCCGGTGAGTCCGCGATCTCCGCGAGCCGCCGAACGGGAACGTCTTGATGTCTTTTAGCCTCGGTGATTATGCAATATGTAAAATAGATTATTTGTTTGTTTACTCTTTGTGGAGAAACGCCTTATACGTTACATTATGACATGCGAATGTACCGGTCATCGTCGGGACTCGCCGTCCGTCTTTCCCTCCTTCACGCGGGCTACAACTCGCTACGACTCCGTCGTATGGCACTAGATTATTATTTAGCATTTCCGCCGCCGCTGCCGCCGCCGCCGCCGCCCTCGCGTAAAAATGCAAACTCGCGCTCGCGTGTTGTGCTGCGGTAGAAAAAATGAGAATCAATCCTCCAGCCCGCTCTGCGCCATTTCGCGTACGACAGCGCGATTTCTCTCGCTACCTGCCACTTCGGTACCTCGAGTGTGTTTAAGAATGTGCGCGTGTGATCTCATACAATGAGAGCTGTACGCTTCGAGGGTGGAAGAGACGAGACGAGGCGCTCCGTCTCTGAGCATTCTGATTCTTTTCCGCTCTTCCGCTTCAATTGACTCCCTCCGGCGTCTCATTGATGAACAAGTCGACTGTGATTCTCTTCGCACCCCGGGGCGGTACGTTCGCGAAGCGCACAACTCCGATGGTGAGTCCATGTGAGTCTTATATTTACGAAACTATTATCTTTTGTAAACGAAGGCCACTCAATACAGAACCTACTGCAAATATCAAGTAGAGTTACTCGTAAAGAATAAATTCCTTCAATGCCTCGGCGAATTAAACGACGTTACGCGTGCATGGTCGCGTTTGAACCCTTAGACTGAGCGAAACATTCCGCTCAGAGGCGCACGGAGGGAACAGATCGGTCAGCTTGACGAGGAGTTTCACTCGGAAGGGACAAAAGTTCCGCTCGTCGGGAACGCAAAATTCGGTTCGTGAGAATCCGATCCCGCCCGTCGCCTTCGATCAAAATGCGCTCGGTTCGCGTTAATTCAGCCGAATCTGTCCTCTCCGTGCAAGACGATCGCTGTGTGAGTCGCCGCGATGCAGCACTTTCGCGCGTTACTGCATTAACAATTGAGAATGCCTCAGGTGCTGTGCGCATTTTAACGCTTGAATCCCGAAATGTGAACGTTCAGCCGACCGGGGTGAGTGTGTGTGTGTGTGTGTGTGTGTGGGTGGATGTGTGGATGTATGCGAAACGTCGTTCGAGTCGCGAGCCATCGCGCGGGAATCCGAATCTCTCGTTCGTAGAACGTTCACTGAACTTTTGAGCGCATCACTGTGTTAAAAGTCTGATTATCTGGACGTATTTCCGTCAATACGCGCATTACGGATTGCTGAGAAAACGGACATTTCCCGGGACTATGTTCCTCGTTTTTATAATCCTTAAAACTAGTCACTAGCGCTTAGGCCCTGCTACGACAAATTCGGCCTGCTGTTTTGAGATCGACGAAGGGGGGGATGGGAATGAATGCCCCGCGTGCGCTGCGCATTCTCTCGCGCGCGGGAGACAATCTCACGGGTGGAAAATCGTAACTTGCGACATCGTGGGGAACGAAACAGAAAAGGAAAATGAGATTCCCGAATAATCCGCGCTCTCGGTGTGGTAGAAACTCAGGGCACGCGCAAATAATACATATCGCTGCGAATACATCAGTCTCTACCAATCGTTCAACTCGAGAAGAGCGAATGAGATTACAACACGTACAAATCCCGACGCTGGCGACTGTCTCGAAAGAAAGCTCACGCGATTACATGCGTATAGTCGGCTTGCAGAACGGTTTTTGCGCGCACACACATACACACACATACACACACACTTCCTTTCCCGATGAAGTCGGAAGCGCTTGTAAACGCAAGCGTATTTATTGCACTCCCGTCTACCAGATCGGAATGAAACAAAGGGCCAATATTTGCAGCAAGTGTGTCATCACCTCGATCTCGATCGTAACCGATCAACAAGCAAGCAACCCCCGAGCTCGCGAGTGGCTCGCAATCGTGACCATTTGATGATGCGCTCCTCACTTCATCGGGAGGGACGTGCGCGAACAGTTATGCAAACGAGCGCACAGAAACCCGGCACAACAGTCTCAACACTTACATTATTAGATAGTAGCACGATTTTCCATCGTATCGTTTTTACGATTGAAAACCACACTACGAGTCGAGACACGTACACTAGTGGTGTCGATCCCGAATGCCTGAGAGTGAAAGTACCAATGCCGGGACACGTACCTAACTCTCTGGACATTCTTGTTGTTTTGGCCTTTAATATTTAAACTTCGAACGACAGCACCAATGTACGCCGCGCCGGTCTGTGCGGCGCTCGGACGAGACGAGCGAATTTCTCCGCGTGAATCGTAAAATGAGAATTTTGTACTATTGAATGCAACAGCGTTTGCACACAACGCTCGCGGTCCGTCAACCAAGGAATTTCTTTCGGCAAATTTCTCTTCCGGTTTAAATCAAAGCATTTATCGGCTGATCACAGCATCGTATATTGTCGCATCACCACATTCAATGTATATAGAGAGCTTCAGACAATTTTCTTTTTGCTCCTTCTTTTTTTTTTTTTGGTTTGTTTGATTCGATGTAATCGCTACTGCCAGACACGCGACCGCACGCGCGAGATCGTCTCGACAATTGCCCGAAAACATGGAATATGGCAGTTTGACATTAGAGCCAAAACATCAGATCTTGCCGTCTCGGAACGGTGAATCAGACGCTCGTCGGTTTACGTGACACATGAAAGCATATTACGATACATACACACACATTCTCTCTCTTACTCTTTCTCTCTCTCTCTCTTTCTCTCTCTATCTCTCTCTCTCTCTCTCTCTCTCTCTGTCTCTCCCGCATACATCGAGCTTGACAGATTCGTCCGGGGACAACGACTGTTAAAATTCAGTGTGTTACGTAACTTGCACGTTCGATCCTCTCGATTAAAGTACCACCTGCGATCGGTAGCACGCGATCGCGCTTATATTTTAATATTACGTATTTCAAATATTTAAATATACTCTCGTCTCAACAAAATATTTGCATTTGGAGATTTGATTAAACGTTTACGCAACGTGTCGTTTTACTCGCCCACCACAGGTGTGCCCTGTGAAAGATCAACGATGTGCCGATGTCGTTCTTTTTTCTTTTTCTTCCTTTCTTTTTCCTTTTTTTTGCTCTTTTTTTCTTTTTGCCAAACGCAAGAGATTAGATTCGCGGACGCGTCTTCGTGATGTCTGTGCGAATAAACGGACATATCGCCCTGTCTGATAGTGCTGCTGCGATATCGGCTGGATGTACAAACGAGAGACACAAATACGTTAATGTAGCTTTCCTCCTCGAAGAGCACATGAACACAGAATTAAAGACGTCTAACCCGCTAACTGCCATGCTTGCGCATGTATTTCGCAACGTACCGACCAAAGGCAAACGAGAACGTAACGAGAATGAGAGTGCGCGAGGAATGTCGTCGACGATTCCGATTCTGCCCCCGACTAATCCAAGCGACTTTGTAACAGAAGCGAAAAGTAGGCTATATACATTGCATAGAATGGCAGTGAACGCGTCGAGATATTTTAAAACTTTCAAGAGAGATCTTTGGTTCTGTAGCCGCGCGCGCTACGTCCATTATTATATTTTTTTCTCCTTTTTTTCTTTAGCACAAGCTCTCCATCCAGTTGCGAGATGGGAACAACAAAGTCTAGATAAGTTAAACGTCCTATTATGCCACTACCGTCGATACATGAGAACCCTCGTGCATAAGGATCCAGCCTCTTTTTTCTTTTTCTTTGTGTTTTTCTTTTTAATTTTTTTTTTTTCGTCATTTATATCGTGCACATGTCAAACGGAGAACTAAGAACTCGAGTTCCCTCAAATGCGGGTTTCAAAATACGGCCTTACGTGTACAGCAATAAGAGATCGGCGTGTAAACGTCGGTTAAACTGGAAATGTCCCGATCCGTAATCGTACTATATACTCTAAGCAATTCCAAAAACAATGTGTACGGTGTTCACACACACATCCTTAGTGTCTCCTAAAATGGTTTCTCATTTTACATTATATTATTGTGTAATCTTTAGGTTTTGTCATTTCTTACGATGCTTAAACGTTAAGTTGAGAAAATAATTTTTTTGTTTATATAACAAGCAAAATGTTCAACTTGTTTCTTCATAAATATTCAATTTTCCATAAGTCTTCTTTACGGTTCAATGGTTCCAGCAGAAACACTTAATTTGCACGTTTCATCTTACTCTTTTCCCCCTTTCTCTCTCTCTCTCTCTCTCTCTCTCTTTTTTTTTGTTCTCAAGTTTGCTCATTCTGTCGTGTTAATACCCGCGCGCGCTCAAAGTGCGTGACGCACTGTCTACTCGAAAGAAGGTATCATTATCATTAGTCACTGGGGAGGGGGGGGGGGTCCAGAACCATTGTATATTAATTGTTACTTATTGTATTACGTCCAATGCTGAGCATGTTGCAACGCTAAGAGCATCCGTGGAATATTATCAGCTAGAAAGCACAAAGAGTATCTCCTAATGTCACCGGAACGTCTTACTGTACTCTGAAATCTTTCTAGCTTGCTTTGGTTTTCATCTCAGTCAATTTCTCAAACGTCGCGTGTACAAGAATCGTTTCTGGTTCAATACGATCGACATCACTTCCCTTGAGCGACGTGTCCAGAGCCTCGATCTGATTATCGCTACTACCCGTTCATTAACCACGTTCTTAGTTTCACGTTATCAAGCGAGGACTGTGCAAACCTTCCACCTGAGTATCGATTTGGGGACAATGCTGGGTATCAGGCGGTCCCCAGTCGTGCAGGTTTCCACTGTTAGCTAATCTGTGCGTGAGTCGATGTGCTATGGAGAAACCTCCGCTACCTTCCAACTGCGTTAGGACTATGATGACTTGTCTGGAAAGGAGAGAAACGGCACGAAATAAATTCGCGTGTCGGGTAAAACGACATGAGACTACGCTGTGATTTACCTGTGAAGGGGTGGAACACTATCGGCAGTTCTGAGTTGTCCTCTTGTGGACACGACATTATAGCTTTCATGGCAGTCGCATTTTACGTGAATCCATTTGTTCACGTGACGATTTTCGACCATTACCACTAAACCGGCCCACCCTTTAGTTAGATAATAAGCAGTCATGCCTTCTCTGCCCTGTAAAATATTTATGTGTCAACGTTTAAATCCGAGAGTGCAATCGCTTTGCAACCTCTGATAAAAATTATTCAAATTTTGTAGTTTTAATGGACGAGTAAAGTTAAAAGAAATAAACATTGTCGCCCTTTTGTAACATATTTTTTTTTTTTTTTTAGAAAACCTGTCGTTTTTAATTGCTCCGGTAAGAAGAAATAGATGGTTGCGTGTGTTAAGCATGTTATTACGCAGGACTGCTGATTTTCCTAAGATATGAGTTACAATCTGCTTACTTCGTGCCGTTGCCCTTTGGCCAATGTTAGACTGATGATAGCATCGGCCAGGACAAAAGCCGGCGGCGAGATCTGCTCGACCAAAAGCCTTTTCGAACTGTGTATGGCGAGAACGTATTCCGGATAGCTGGACGTATCTTCCATTCCGGTGTGCCAGTGATTGAAGGCCAGGCACACGACAATGTACAGATCCCTCTCCAGCATCTTGTGGCAACCAACGAAGCCGCGCACTTGCCGTTTACTGTGTTCCACTAGTCTACCGACTTCCGGGGCGGCCGGAGACCTCGTGCGAAAGACTACCACACACAAGTCCAGCTGAGAACGTTGCGACTTTTCCGAGTTTCTGCAAAGTGTATCGTACACTCGTCAGCGTTCGCGTCCTGCGATATGCGTGCTCGTGCGCGAGATGTTTTGACGATCGTCTCTCACCTTTGGCCCTCTTGGAACAGCGTGAATTCCGTTTCGGTAGGTTCTAATACTGTCAAAAGAACGCACGACAAGTGCCTGAGGGACGACAACGGAGGCAGAGTGCCGCGCAGTCTCACTTCGCTCCAGCCGACCCTCGTCTTACAGATGTCAATGCAATCGAAATACTTTAGAACGTCGTCAAAAGATATCCAAAAGACACCGTCCGAAGCACCATGCGGCATAAGCATCTCTCGTAATTGCGGGGTCCATATAGGACTATCGTCCGACCAGTCCCCTTTCCAACTGTAGTGACCCCAGGGATTGCGTAGTCGCAACAGCCGTATTCCCTGTGCAATGAATATCTTCCTCTGTAGCAGGGGAATCAAATGCCAACTTAGGTATCGTCTTTCACGAGCCTTACCTGTACATCGCGTACATCGAGGACAGAATACGCGTGTCTGGAAAGAAAGTTTCAATTATCGGTCAAAGGGACTAAAAAGCAGGATTAATATAAACAGAAAAACACATGCCAACAAATATTACTTGTTTAGAGTATTTCATAGGTTTATATAGCTGCAAATCTATCATAAGTTGTCAATAAGCATCAAATTTACTCGAAACGATATTTTTTTTCTACGCATACGTACACGACAGAAGAAAGAACAAAAAGAGGAAAAACAATTTAGTTGGCAATACATACCTCGGCCTCAGACCTTTGCGCTGATACTCCTCCTCGTCAACCTTCATATTACCACCTCCGCAGCTAGCACCCATTAGAAACATGGCCTGCCTCGAGGACAAAAGTTGTGCCCATATTAGGTCCCTGTCGAGTTCGTCTTCGCTTGGCAATGCTGAAGGTTGTAAAGGCACGCTCTCACACGGGGCACCAGTCAGTGTCGCTAGACCTTCTATAGCACGACCGGATACTAAGGCTTCGTAACAGCCGTGTATCTTAGCAACCGCTTTCTCGATCAGCGGCACCCAAAGCTGTTTCCGTTTTGCCTTCGACGTAAGATGCGACGACTCCATCAGTACCGTACAAGTGCAAAATACAACAAATCCGGACAATTCGCGGATACATACCTGAGAGTACACTAAGTGGCCTCTCTTATCACAGGGTAGTAGATCATCAACGAGCACCGTCGTCCATTTCCCATCCTTACATAGTCTGACTTGGTAAGCACCCTCGGGGCACGTCTCTCTCATAACCAGAACTCTCCTCACGAGCTCGTCGCTCTCGGCCAGAACAGCCAGAGCCGACAGCAACCAACAATTTCCTAAGACACCTTGCGAGATATCAGAAGGTAAGGGTGTCCTAAAGACAGCCCAAGGCAGTTTAGAATCGACACTTGAGTCCACGTTAATCTGATGCGGCCTTCTCCATTGGACGACGTGATTATCCTTCGTGTCCGCGGGATTATAATACAAGGATTTCGGAGCGGGCGGAAACGAATCGTCGACGAACGGCTCGTTTGTCTGTGAAATACACGTGCGAAGGGTGTTTAGTTCCTAGAGAGGGCAGGGGGTAAGATCTCCTAACGCGTATTCAGAGTCACGCTTCGGACAGTAGATTTAGATTTATAGCATTACCTCTTTGCAGTATCGCACGATGCGCTCCCACTTTTCGAGCGCTTCCCTCTCCTCCAGCTGCCTGAGGTTTTCCATCACCACGCTTTCTTGCCGCTGTATTCTAAGGGTACTAGTGCCCGACTCGATGAGTCTGGATATCCCCCTGTCTCCAGATACTTGGGACAACGACTTCGAGCTTTGGCACATTTCGCAGATGGCGTTCGTACTTTTGTTCTCGTACGTACAAAGTTTACATTGCCACTGGACATACGAGGGAAAAAATTCGTGTAAATACAGCGAAACCATGATGTCTTTTTTTCTCTTTCTCTCTCTCTCTCTCTCTCTCTCTCTCTCTCTCTCTCTCTCTCTCTCTTCGAGAACAGTTCAACGCGCTCGTACCAAATCGAGCCGTCTTCAAGAACCCCACGAGATCGTAGCTACTTACTTGAGCGTGTGAAGAGTCCCTGGTCCTCGAGTGCCTCTTGTCGCCCGCCGACGAGCCGTTTCTCCTCACGGAATTTCGATGTCTCGGAGTGACCGCTTTGGAATTCGCCGGGGTCGGGCAGAGCCTCGGGCTCGGGCTTCGTTGGCCCAGAGCTCGGTTGTCCTTCGGGACCTCGAGGAAGTCCGCTAGGGTCTTGCAAGCATTGCAGTTCTGTGCCGACAGAGGATTCCTCAGCGTGCACGACGGGCATACCCAGCTCTCGCCCTTCCGCAAAGTGGCGTCCTCCAGGTGCATGATACTCTTGAGCTTCGAGCCGCAGCAAGCCTCGCACGTCGTTCTCGACGCGGCGTTCAGCAGAGTACACTTTTTGCACGTCCATACCGGCGACGGCGGGTCAATCTGGTCGTCCAAGTCGGACTCTGCCGTGGCCAAAGTGGCTGACTTTGGCGGGATGTATCGGACACTATCTCCCGTCACCACGATTGGGGATTGTGCGTGCGTCGGATAGCTGCTGGTATCCTTCGTGACGGTAATCAGGCTGGGTTGCGTCAACGACGGTGGCGACCTGGACGAGCCGCAAATGTCGCAGCCACCCGACCATAGCGGATTGTACGCGTAAGAACACTTCCTGCAGGTCCACATTCGCTTGAGCGGGCTCACGCTCGGTACCTCGCCCACCGGACTGGTCGCCTCGCTGTGCGCCTTCGTCGGTATCAGGCCTAACTTACTGCTCTGTTTCTTTGGCAACGGCGGCGGTATATCGGGATCCGTGATCCCTATGTAGGAATACTTTGGTCTCGTGTTGAAGCCAATGGAATGTGGCGGCACCGCTGGCGGCTCTTCGTCGTTCAGACTCCTACGGTTGACAGTCTTCTTCTGCGTCACGCTCGCAACCGAGTCAACGTCGGAGAAAGATCTCCGATAAGACAAAGGCCCAGCGGACGATAACGCGCGTGGTACCCAAGCCGGCACACTAATAACCACTCCGCTGCAAGGTGCTGGACTTCTGGGAGCGTCGCATGCTTCGCATTGCTCCAAACCGGGCGCATTGTCCAGCGTGCAGTTATCGCAGCTCCACAGACCATCATCTTGACGCGCTTCCGGCACTACCAGGCTCGTGGGTCGCTGGACAGCGTGCTCCGATAGTTTTTGTACGACGGAGCCGTTCGATAAGGAACGACTGACTTTGGATTTTACTCGTTCATACATAGAGGGACTATGCCGCTTCGGAGAACGTTGAGAGGTATCGGTGTTATCCGCGAACGGAAGCGTCGTGGACTCCATCGCTCCAATCGACGGTAAAATCCAGTCTTTGTGGTCCACTCTCTCGCGTTCGTTCCGACTTATACTCGTCAACTGTGCCATGCCTGAAAAGTTTCGAGACGACTCAATGACTTGTGTATACATAATATAGACAGAAATATATATATAGATATATATATATATAAAATTTATCTTCCATCTATATAAGATATATAGACAGATATACAATTTATGTAAAATACAGCTTTCTTTAATCTCTAAATTGTTCTATTCGACGAAGCTTACCTGTATTACTAATTTTATCATCGTTACTAAAGCCGCTTGTGCCAGCACCTCCATCTAGGACATTGGCCAAAAGTCCCGAGGTGATTTTCAGGCGATTTTCCTTATGCAAATTAATCTTCTTGCTCTTGCGCGCACCGATCTGTCTTCTGTCGGTTTGCGCTATCGACGAACTAGCATCACAAGCAGCGCAAATCAATGAGCTACAGCTATTGTCCAACAGACATCGAATACAAGTCCATTGCGTGACTAAAGAGGGTAGAGATGTGGAGCGCTTCAACGGTTCTCTGTCGGACGAGGTCCCAGCCCATGAGCCGCGCTGCAAATTCTTCCTGACATCGGATGTAGACAGGTACTTCTCGAAACTGCAAGATCAAGGAGAGAATGTAGCTGGGCGATCTCAATCTGTGTTTACATCTGACATAGTATCCATCGTAGAATGTTAAGTTTATCATAGAACATGGAATTTACACTGGGCAAGCTTATATTCTCGTCAACTAAAAGGAGATTCCTCGTCCATACAAACATACTCAACGACAGTCATTAAACGTACACAACAAAACACACAGACTAAGTGTTGTATATTTCACCAAAAGTCCACTCCAAAGAGCGAAATATTCACATGAATCCAACAATAAAAGAATCAAGCACACATTCTACAACAAAACCGTCGACATAAGTGCTCAAACGTGACAACAACGGACATACGTCCGGAATCTCTCTCCGTTGCCCCAAAGTACACAAAACACACACGGCAAAAGGTCAAAGACTGAGAAGGGGGGAGCTGGGCAGATTGACAGAAAGGCCAGGAAATCGCGAGTCTCACCCGCGAACAGCGGCGCGTCGGGACTCGCTGCACTGGTCGGCGGCAGTAAACGACGTGGAGCACTCCGTGATCGGGTTGCGCGCCAATCTGTCCGTCCTCGGCGGCGGCGTCGGCGGTGTCGATTCCCCGGAGGATTCTGGCTCCTCTCCGTCGTCGCGCCTCTTCCTCGTCGGCTGCTGTCGCTCGTTGGCCCCCGCGAGCGCGACCGCTGCTCTAACGGCGGCCTCTTGCCGCGGCGCGCTACCTCCGCTACGCTCCGCGCTGCTGGTGGCCGCACGCTCGAGCCTGCCGTGGCTGGCCCTCTCGTCGCTCCTGAACCGCGTCAGCCCGCACCTGGCGCATCTCGCGCTCTCCGTCGGATTTATCAGAGCGCACTCCGAGCAATGCCACTGCAACACCGACGCGATCGAGCCCATTCTCCACGCGTAGTCATGGCTCCCCCGCTGCGCCGCGCTATATCACCACTGTCGCGGACACGGACACGGCAGCCACAGCGGTCACGGCGACGACGACGGCGACGACGACGGCGGCGGCGGCGGCGACGGCGGCGGCGTCGGTGGCAGGTGGCAACACGGAGCGGCAGCCACAGAGATGCGACGGCGACGGCGTCGGCGTCGGCAGCGGCAGCGGCTTCGACCTCGACTCACCTGTCTGCTGAGAACTGCCACACGCGAATCTCCTCTCTCCTGTCGCCCCGCCGCCGCACGTTGCACCGGGTAGGGACGCGCTGCGACTTGGCGACGACGCGGCCGCCGGCGGGCGGCGCTTAACGACGGCGAGCGGCGACGGTGCCGCGGTTTAGGCGTCCTTCACGTCGTCGTCGTCGCGAGGATGTCGCCGTCGTCGGTCGCGACGGGAGCCCGCCGTTCTTTGTCATATGTTCCGCGACGGCCATCTTTCCCGTCCGGTCCCTTCACCGCGCAGACTGCACTCTCGCTGACCGCGGGCTTCGCAGGTGCGGCGTGAGCGAGCTCGGCGCCATGGGCGAAACGTCCTGCGTATTTTGGACGGCTGTCATGTCGTTATTTTCTGCGGACGCAGAAGCGCGAAAAATTTCACGGAAGGTCCCCCATTTCCGAAAAGTTTACGTGGTTACTGAAGTCGTCGAGTACACGGGGAACTTATCATCTTTCGCGCTTCAGCTCTTAAAAAAATTGTCCTCGTCGATTAAAAATCGATGTTATTCGTTTTTTACTGCGTATTCTTTATCCGTTTTTGTGTCGTTCGGTATTCCTCGATTTTGAAAGTATGTCGAGGTCGTCATCCGATTTTTGTCCCTCCACGTGAAGAATCTAGAAATAATGGCAACAGAATCAATTAACCTTTGGGGAGATTAATTATGACGATCAGGGCCCGTATTCTCGAAAATTGTCGTATACGATATTTCATGAATGTCACTAGATATCACGATTTTTAGTTAAAGTTTAGGTATCCAATTAAATCGCCCCATTGATGAAATATCGTATACCATATTTTTCACAAATTTTCGAGAATTCAGCCCCAGATGCGATAATTTGTAACGGCTGCGTCTACCATGAAACTTCGAAACATGCGTTACTGGATGTTAATAATGCCGTGCACATTAGCGACATCTATCACAGAGGAACGAGAAATGCATAAAGCACATATTATGGTTTCTGACCAGCGTAGACCATCACGTCCCTGTGGCGCAGAGGATAGCGCGTTGGACTTCTAATCCAAAGGTCGTGGGTTCGATCCCCACCAGGGATGACAGAGGACGGCTTTAAGACATCTGTGTAAAAGCCGTTCGTACAATTTTTTTTATACGCGCCGTTCGTTCACATCGTTAAGTATCAATCGTCTCTAATCAACGGCGACAATATTTTGTCGTCTAACCCACTTCTCGTTCTTCCGTGTCATCGTCGTAAATTTCGTAACGCCTTTCACGCATATTGACCTCGTGATGAAATGGTAAATATAACACGAGAGAGAGAGAGAGAGAGAGAGAGAGAGAGAGAGAGAGAGAGAGAGAGAGAGAGACGGCACCGGCTGGGATCCGTCGATCCCTCTTTGATGCGCAGTTTTTACATCGTATAGACAAGAAGCACAATTACAAAGCCGCAAGCAACGCTTTATTTAACGTCTCTTAAATGTCAAATAGGAAGGTATGAAATAGGAGCTCGAGCATTTAGAACTGTTATTTGGAGCCAAACGCAAAGTGCTCGTGCTAAATCTTTAATTGTGAGATAACAATGTTTTTAACTGCGGAAGAGCAGAGAAAAATCCGGTTAAACCTGTTCTAAATTGCGAAAACCTGTTTACATTCTTCTGCCGAGCTCTTTAATGAAAAGCGCCTGTCGAATGAATAAGAGGACGGGTAAAGCGATGAATAAAGTGATGGCCAAGCGTAAGATTAGCAACGTTACGTCAACACACACACATGCGGGAGCAGATAACGGTTTTACTTTGTGTAAATTTATTGAGAGGGAGTTAAGTATCTCATCGGATCTATAAATATCGTATGCATAGTTTTTGCGCTCAAATACTTTCACGGATCAGTCTTGCTGCTGAGCTACGCCGGTGTCCTCGCTTTATCGTGATGATATTAAAATACTTTCGCAATTTTATCAATGAAAAATCGACTGGAACCCGCCGCTCGATGAATCGCGGCGGATGACGACAAGAACAACGACAACGATGACGACGACGGGCGCGATTCGAAGGCGCGTCGCGTCTAATCGTCCCGTAAATACACCCGGTGGATCGTTAGGGGATGACACACGAAACTCTCCGCGCTTTCTGGACCCGGCAGGTTTGCGCCTCCGAAGAGGGCTCGCGTGCCGTCTCCTTTTGGTCGCCGAGGCAGAGCAGCTTCCCGTCGGTTTATTTACGGAAACGCTTCTTCTTTGCTTCTTACTGAGAAGCGCCTTACTTTGACTCTCTCCCGACTCTTAAACAGTGTCTTAGTTTTGTTTGATTTCTCGAAGCGAAAATAATTTTTGGGGAGGGGGCGAGAGAGAGAGAGAGAGAGAGAGAGAGAGAGACGGGGAGGAAGGTGAATAGACCTTGGCTCTGGGAAGGGAGCGCGCGTTTTGTGCTCGCGAGATCGACATTTCTTCTCATCGCGACAAATGAAATTCACACATCATCACATTTTACATCTATCTTTTTCTCTTGTTTTACGTTACTCTTTATTTATTTACTTTTTATTTATTTTTTATTTATTTCTCCTCTCGTCGGACCTCGGACTTCCACGTCACCTCTAATAGTTTTTGTATTTACTATGAAATGAACATGTAAACACTTCTGCGTAAATGACATGTATGAGTTGCGTTTCGTAACAGGAATTTATTAACGGTGAGTAAAAAGCAAAATAATATGCCTGCATTACGAGAGAAAGAGAGAGAGAGAGAGAGAGAGAGAGAGATTCGCTTTTTATCGTCGAAAACAAAATGCAACAACATCGTGCAATCTTGTCCACGTAGAATATCCGCAGCGATAAATTGCTGTTTACGCGCGCTCGCCGGACAACACTGTAACATTACGCAAATCGTATTCGTACAGAGTATCTACGCGCTAAGATTCGTTCGACATAAATCCGACATTTTCATCGGATTACGTGTAAACAGGCTTCTGCCGAACGACGACGATTGGACTTTCATCCGCCGAGCGCGCAACATTTCCATTGTCATTTTCCGTGGTTGTTCGCCAAGGCGATGTTGAAATTTTCCGTCTTCGGCAGCGTTCCATCGCCGCCTACGAGTCTCATCGGGACGATATGCCAGAAGATGAGCCGTTAGCGACGTATTCCTGATTTTTCATCCTGCCCTTCCAAACGATTTCTCGAATTTTCGAGCCGCGCCGCGGACGCGCTCGCGCGTCCGTCGTCACGCTCTTTGGAATGGAGCCAGTGCAATTTACTAGCAGACAGCTAGTCGCCGCTTCCACGATTCCACTTCGTAATCATAGAGCAGCCTCATAAATAATTGTGTTGTTCCTCCTCCTTCTTCGTTTGCAGCAGCAGCAGCAGCAGCAGCAGCAGCAGCAGCAGCAGCAGGAGTAGCAGTGGCGAATATGGCTGTTCAATTAACAACGATTACTACGCTCTATAAGATAGCTCTGCGACTCGGACGCGCGAGTATCAAGTATCGTTATGTAAATCGCGTCGTTTTGTTGCCAGCGACGAGAACACGTCTTTAATTAAATTAGGAAGCGCTCTCTCGCCGGGGTTTACGACGAATAAAGCGCTCTTGGCGATGTAGACTCAGCCGTTGCGAATTACGCGAATCCGAATTACTCTTCCGTATTCTTTGCAATGTGTTGTGTGCGCGCGCGCGCTCGCGCAATATTGGAATATGCAAATCGTTTAAATCATTTAAATTGTTATCATTTAAATCGCAAATCTTTTAATTCGTTAAAATTCAAAACTTGTCCGCGTTTCTCGTATAAAGAATGACGCATTTGAAGCACCCATCCAAAATATCTGGAAAGAAATATATTATTCGAGAAAATATTTTAGACAAAAGTTATTTTATTTTTCTTATTTTTTATTTTTTTATTTTTTCATTTTTATTTATTTATTTTTTATTTGAAGCGAAACTTGTTTAGATTTTCGTCTGAAACATTTTTCTTCCAATATTTTTTCCAGTAATTTTATTTTCAATAATGCGTCTTTTCCGAGATATTTTTAGTGAATGTTTGAAATGGTTCACTTTGTATATTTTTTCTGCACACGTGCTTTGTAATTTGAGTTTGCATTCTCGACGTCTTTATATATATAGTTTAATAATGTTGTTAAAAATTGTGTACGCCGGAAATTAGACACAAGTCTTCTCTGCTTCACAAAGTAAAAGAGAATGTACGATCACGCGTCTCCTTTGATTATTACGCAGCTCGACGAATATCGCGTCGTATAATGCGACGTTTCGTGCAAAGCGTCGCATTGGTAGATCCGTTAAACGTTGACATTGACACCAGAGAGGCCTGACGATCGTAACGAGACCCCCTGCTGCTTGGAAAACTCTTAAATCCTGGCAATTGACACTGTTTGGTCCGTTTACCCCCAGTCAATTAGCCGTTTAACGCCGAGAGGAGGTCTCATAATCAGACAGTGGCGAACGGAAAATTTTCCACGGGGCGATATCGCGCGGATCAATGCGCGTTCTATCTATCTGCGTCGCTTTTCCGTAGCGCGTAGAAATTGAATCGCCTATCCCCGACGTGCAAAGCCGGCGTATCTTTTGTACTTGCGATAAAATCGATCATTGATCATTCAAGCGGTTGCTTATGCAGGTACGTCATAGTCTACTTTGAGAGCCAAGTGTACGTCATTGTTATGCAGAAGATACCGGGTAGTACTGAAAAGCGACTTGGGATTACACTGCGTAATTCGTGCGATTTGAACAAGCGAAGTTCAGAATTTCCAATGTCGAGTAGTCGATGGTGGAATTCTCCACTCGCTTCGAGGAGAAATCGAATTGAATCCGCGCGAAGAAATTGCGCTTATCGCGTGGAAATGTGACCCCCTCGTCGTCGCGTTACGTCACTTATTCTCCACAACATTACTGAGAGATGCATGCTTTAATAATGGTTGGCTTTACGACGCAGATGTTTCACGCGTCGGCAAACTTTTCTTCGCTTCACTTTGAAGTAAACAACTCTTGCCGCAAAGGAAATTCTTAATGTCGCAGTTATTTATATAAAAAAAAAAAAACTTTCTCCTAGTATAGAGATGATGCGATCGCATGCAGATGTTCGTAGGGGATCGTATCTCGTGATATCCGTGCACCGCAAATATGCGGAATATCAGCGGTCAATGATAACATAACACGCACAAGGCTAACGCACGAATTATTTCATTGGCGAATTTTTTAGGATTCATGAGAGGAAATAACGAAGGAATGATGCATGAGACCGATTTTCTCAACTATAACCCTAAATTTTTCTCTCCTAAGTTCTGAATCGTAGGATTTTTCATCTATTCTACGTCTGTTTCATATAATATCAAATGCAAG